GGCGGCTCACGCGGTTGTTACCCCTTGCGAGGATTTCGGCCTCGTCGATATTAAAAATATTGCCTGGTCCCGTCGAGTGAACTGCAACCTGAGAGTTATCGTCTTTCTTCCTCACCGCCGTAGCATGCTCGACCCTTCACGTCCGGAGTAATCTTCCGGTTTCTCCGACGTAGTTGCACTGTCAACAACTGCACCAGATCCGCTTAACGACTCCAGCCTGTTCTTGCCGTGGCAGTGGGTCATTCGGTCTCATGACCCGGCGCCTGAAGCGTTTTTTGTCTAATTCAATTGGCATGATGAGTGAACGTGCTGCCCAATCGTTCCATGTCACATAGTGTACTCAAATATCTCTTCCGTTTTTTATGTCGCACATTGATGGTGGGCTAGCGTAGGTTTACTCTATTTTTTGCCTAAATCTTGCGACGCATTTTTCCAAAGTCGCGTCCACCACAATTGCCTGGTTTATAACTTCTTGTGCTTTCGAATGAATGCGGAAGATTAATTAATTTGATGATCCTGCCTTGACTAATGCTTTTTTAATTCAATTACTGAGGAGGGGACCTTTGTCTTTATTAGGTACATATGACGCTCCATTTGTAGTCGAGAGCGTTAAGTTCAAGTTCTCCTACGTTGTTCCATCCCATAGATGTTATATAGTTTGAAGAAGTTTAAAATTCATGTTGTTTTATGTGCACTGTTGAAGCAGGTACTGTTCTCCTGGTATTTAGGAAGGACGGCATCATATTACGCAGTAATTTAACAAGGGTTTCACATTTACTTTTTCCCTCTTTTTGAAACACCTTATTGGGTTTTGACTACATTTACGGTAACCACTGATTTTTCCTGTTTATTTTCAATATGGCTGCTGTAAAAGGCATAATATATTTCTGTAAGTAATCAACGAGAGAACTTAAAGAAGCGGTTTGAAGGCCCTAAATGTGGATATTTTTTTACATAACACAAGAAGTTTTTAAGAAAGCGGTGGCAATTGGACCATAATGCAGTAGGAAGGCTGATCGCTCAAGATGCATAGATAAATGTAAGAAATCGATAAATTCACTATCGGAATCAAGGAGAAAAGAAGAAATTTGGCTGCCCCAGGAACTAAGACTATAAGAATAGCATAAAATTAAGTTTGATAGATCTGTTTTCTAGACTTAGATGATGCCTCACTGACCTAAAATCTCTCCCTGAAAAGCGGGTATCAGTGAAAGCAAGAAAAGTGATGTGCAATGCGGATTGCTGAAGCCACCACAAATGGCTACTACCGAGCGGTGACAATCGCACAGTTCGAGGCGAGCACTGAGCGAACAGGAAGACTTTGGTTAAAAAAGGCACAATAAATGGATTTTTCAGTCTGATAATACTAGACAAAATGTTGTGTAACCAATAAAGTGACCTTGAGGCGCACATATGCAGGAAATTCTGCATCTTTTGATTAGATTGTCATATTTTTTCATTGACACTATTCGGTTCGCATGAACAACGCGTCATTTCCTATGGCGGGTCAACATGTTTTC